GATGGGTAATGGTATCTTGATTTGGTTTTAATGTGCATTACTCTAGTGACTAATGATACTGACATTTATTTTCAGTGAATGATTTGAGGTTTTTGTTGTTTTTTAGAGATCATGGTGGTACTGGATCTTGAACTCAGGGTTGCATGCTTGCTAGGAAGGTGCTCTACCAGTTGAACGATTCCACCAGCCCTGATTCTAGGTCTTAAAGAAAAAAAAATTATTACTAAGTGTTTTATTCTTTTTAATGCACTCTGAATGAATTTTTAAAAAAATTCATCATTCCTTCCTACAATATAGAAACACAATTGAGCTTTATTTGTCCATCTTTTATACTGTGACATGCTGCACTTAGTTCTCATAGTTTTTGTTTGTTCTTTTGCTTTGGTGGGTTCCTTAGAATTTTTTTTCTGTAGTATTATGTTATCTGTGAATAAAAACAGTTTTAGGATCAGGCTGTCTGTGAACATAGACAAAGACAGCTTTATTTCTTCCTCCCCAATTTGTGTTTCTTTCCATTTCTTTTTGTTGCCCCATTGTTTTGGTTGTCTTGAATGCAATGTGAATAGACGGGGCGAGAGCCTTTTTCCTCATCTGAGAGGGGCAGCATTCGGTCTTTCATTGCTAGGCATGACATTAGCTCCAGGAGTTTTGTAGATGCCTTTATAAAATTGAAAGAACTTTAATCCTATATTCCTAGTTTGATGAATTTTTTTTTAAATCATGAATGGGTATTAGATTTTGTCACATCTTTTTTCTGTGGCTATTGAGATGATCATCTAGGTTTTTGAGTAGCAGAAGTTCTTAATTTTTTCATTTTCTTTTTTGAGACACAGTCTTACTACATAGCCCCAGCTAGCTTCAAACTGGCAATCCTCCTGCTTCAGCCTTCTGAGTAATGAGGTTATAGGCATGCATTATGATGACAAGTGAAATTATTAACTTGTGTTAATTTTTTAAAATTTTGTCCTTTTTGAGTTGGGTTCTGTTCTGACAAATAGCTAAGTTACTTGTGAAGCAGTCTCATTTCTTTAAGGCCTATTTAAATTTTGTTAGAAGGGTCTGGAACAGTGATTTTTCACATGGGGCAATTTTGCCCTTTAGGGGACATCTGGCAATGTCTGGAAATATTTTTGGTTGTCACATGTGGAGTTATGCTATGGTATCTAGTAGATAGAAGTCAGGAAAGTTCTCTACAATAAAATAATGTTTGGCTCAAGTTATCAGTAGTAATGAGGTTAAGAAAGCCTAATCTAGAGTAACTTTACATGGGGTTAAGCTCTACTCTGGAGTTTGTTTGATGTGATAACTGGTGACTCTACTCTGATTGGTTCAGTTTGAATCTTTTCTTGTACTATGTGAACCCTGGGAATTGTTCAGTTTAAATCCCAGTGGTGACTTTTGGCCTGCATTTATGGAGTGTCTAGCTAAAACATCAGCCACCCAATTTCTGCAGTTCTGAATGGAGCCCTATTTCAGCTTCTTAATCTTTTTCTTTGCCTCACTGTCTCATGTCTGGGCATGTCCCACAGTTCCTCATCATCTCAACTTTCACAGGCATCTTTGTCTTCTTAAGTCAACTGACTGTCAGACTTCTTAAGAGTTTCTTGCTTGAGTTTTCTCATGTAGTAGGGCTCTTAATTCTTACTTTCCTTCTCCTTGGCATCGTAGCCCTACACTGCTTACTGTTCAGTATCTGATGTTTTCATTACTTTGTGCGGTTTACTAGTTGATTTCTTTGGGAGATAAGAATAGTCCTTATTCCTACTTCATGGTCAGAAGTGGAAATGTACATAGTTTTTAATCATGTTATTTCAGTAAGTAGCTTATCTGTAAGTTATCAGGGACTTACATGTATAGTAATCTACTGTGTAAATTCTGGTTCAACCTTAGAATAATCACTCAAGACAAGTGCCCTGAATTTTGCTGCTTGCCTTTCAGTAGGGAAGATAATTGGAAAGTATGGCATTATATTTTATACATTTTTTTTGCAGGAAGTATTTTGGTAGATAATATTTTGCTTGACTAACACACAAACAACACAATACTTAGATCTATAGACTATCAAAGTATATCTTCATGTAATTGGAAACTGTAAATTTTTGATATTTAAATATATGATAAATCCCTTGACATTTTGTATTTTTTATTTTGAAGTTATATGATAACCTTACTATCAACCTTACTATCAACCTTAAAGGATTGATAGTCTGTTTTGTTAATGTAAATTGATAATGTAAGGTCTATATTTCTTCTTCCCTTTCTTTTCACCTGTCCATGAAGTAGAATCAAAGTTTATTTAGTCACAAAAATACATTGATTTTTATAATTATTTGCTTTCCCTTTATTTTTTATTTTCTGTCTATATCTAATTAAATTTTGTTGTAGGGTGTTGAAAATCCTTGCAAGTAGAGGTCAGAACATAAAAAATAATTAAAATTAAAATACAGATAGTACAGATGCTTACCTAATTCTCACACCCATGTGTGTAGCCAGCTTTCCCTCAGTACAAGGAAATTAATACCTGAGATAATCAACTTATCAAGAAGAAAGGGTTATTTTAGCTCACAGTTTTAGAGTTTCCAGTCAAGACTGGACAGACCCATCGCTTCGAGCCTCTAATAGGTGTATGGGATGGCTATGCAGTGGGTGTGTGGCAGAGCAAATTGCTTAATTTACCTCATGGCCAGGGAGCAAAAAGGTTGGGTTTCCACAGTCCCCTTCAAGGGAATGCCGCCATTGATCTGAGGACCTCCCATGAAGCCTTACCTCTTTTTTTCGGTGGGGGAGGGTCACTGGGGTTTGAACTTAGGACCTCATGCTTGCTAGGCAGGTGATTTACTGCTTGAGCCACTGTGCTAGCCATTTTTTGTGATGGATGTTTTAAAGATAGGGTCTTGTAAACTATTTGCCTGGGGCTGGTTTTGAACTATGATCCTCCTGATCTCTGCCTCCTGAGTAGCTAGGATTACAGGTGTGAGCTACCTGTGCTAGGCTGAGGTCCTACCTCTTAAAGGTCTGCAGCATCTCCTAGTGGTGCCTCCCTGGAGACCAAGGCTTTAACACATGGACCTATGAGAATATTCAGCATCCAACTATATGCCATGTGTGAAAAATCCAAACTTTTAATTTTTTAATGAAAAGAGGCAAACTACCTATTTTATAAATGGGTATGGATATACTTCAAACCCTTCAGTTTCTGATAACAGTTCTTAATCTTGGTTTTTCTTTAGTTCTTAAGGTTCTCACACTATTTTGTAGTAGTTTTAGGAGATTGTCACTGTCACATATTGAAGTTTTTCAACAAGTGAGTTTTTTTCTTTAGAAGTGTGAGGAATGCTTTATCAGTTGTTTCTTAAATTAAAATTTCTTGGCCAGAACATTTATCTGTAAGAGTTAGTCATTCACTTTTTTTACTTTTGGCTGCTGATCTTTCATGATTAAATTAATTATTTTTACTTTAAAGGTTAAATCTGTTATACATGTGCCAATTGGTATGTGAGGAATGCTAAGTTAAACATCACTGCTTGAAGTTGTATTTGATTTCCTTGCTTAAAAGGAATAAATGACTCCTGGGAAACATCCCTTTTCTTTAGTTATGTATTAAAAGAAGCAAACACAAGTAAAATTTTTTAATGTCCCTACTTTTGTCAGTTTTAGGAAGAAAGATAGAAGCAGTGTTTTTGTAGAGTCATTAAAGGAGTAAAACAATGTGTTATCAACTCAAATTCCTGAGGATATAATAATCAAATTTTGCGATATTTTCAAATAGTTCATTTGTGTCTGACACTCTGTAACTAAGTTGGTTTAGCATAGTAAAATGAAAATTTCCTCTAAAATTGAATATTTTAATTTCGCTTTAAGATATAAAGATTTTCACAAAGTTTTTTTGTTAAAATAGAAAATTTACTGATAAGCACTTGTAAATATTAGGTTGACCTAGAGTATATCATCCTAAATCCAGCCTGTGTTTCTCCTTTCCCATGATAAATTAGACTTAAGCACTAAGGAGCTTTACCACAGTCCACACTCCTGGGCTTGACTGCCCTTCAATTTTTATATTTCTTCTGTCACTCCTGTCATTGAAATGTCATTGACAAGCAGTCTTTTCTGCTTTATGATGCATTGCTACTAAATTCTGAACTGATGGCCTGCTATGAGCTGACTTTGTTCTTAGTTTGCACATTATTTCTTATTTTAATTTTCATATACTTTATTTTCAGTAGGAAATTGAGAGCAAGAATTCCATTGCTTTTTTTGTTGTTGCTCTACCATACATATCTTACAGAGGCTGTCATTTTATCAGCTAGTTTATGGGCATGTGAGCATAGCTAGGATCTATTTTGGTTTATATTAGTATGACTTGCAATCAGTCTAATTATACTTTACCTTTTTTCATATTTATGTATACCTTTTAATTTAAAGGGTACAATGTCTAAGTAAGTTATTTAGGAATTCATGATGACAAAACATTTACGACTTGAAGCAACCTTATTATTTGAAGAAAGAGTTTATATAACTTGATGTTTAAATATTTGGCTTCTTTTATTTGTAATTAGTAATTTTGAGATCATTTGAGGTCAGAGACCATGTCTCTTGTACTAATATGTTTTCTTCTGTTATGCTTGCCGTTGTATTCGGCACAGAGTAAGTGTAATAAGCACTTGAGGAGAGACCTACCTGCATGCTGTCCACGTTGGAGCAATTAAGTACTAGAAGGCAGGAGGAATTAATGGCTTATTAAGTTTTGTGTTTTATTATTTGTTTTTAATTTTCATTATTAGTTAGGATGTCTCTTACTAAATACTTAAATTGTTAGTTTTTAAACTTAAGCCTATTTATCATTCTTTTTTTGGTTTTATTATCTCAACTGCTATGGGTTAGTCTCAAATAAATTTATTTTGTTTTTTGCTATTTTGTTTTATTTTTAAACTATTCTCATTTGTACACTGGCTCCTAAAACCAGTTGTTTTCTTCTGTTTCATGTTATTAAATGTTTTCAGAAAGAGAAACTGCTTTTGGTATTGGGGTCCCTTGGAGAAACCCTGTGTTACCGTAAAGCCAGTATTGGTTTGGAACAACCAGAGGTGATGCTGGTGCATCACAGAATGGCCTTCATCAGCACTGCACTATTCACAGTGCGACTGATACAGACACTTCTCCCTGTTGAAAAGGTAAGGGAGGTAGTGCTGCTTACTTGTAGATAACTGAATATTGTAAATAATGCCTGTTACACATTTCTTTTGATCATTTCATGGTGTAAAGGTGTTCTGCTTTAGACTACTTTAAAAATAAGCATATATATGTGATTTAAACAGAAATGTAGAAATTGAGAAATGACTAATGTCTTAAACAGTTTTGACAGATTATTAGATAAAAAGGTATTTTTATCTAATAAAAATACCAGTTGTTTTTATTGCGTATGTTTCATTGTAATTCTGTACATTTGCTTGTTGTTTTTATTGCGTATGTTTCATTGTAATTCTGTACATTTGCTTGTTTAATTCCTTAACTTGTTTATTTAATGGCTATTTAACTGATTGCTTGTAGTGGGCTAGTGGTATTAGATAGTGGATATAAAACTGAAAAAGTTAGAAGTGGTCATGCTGAACTTAGTGTGATGTAAAAGACAAGCCTGCTGTTTTCTGCTGTGTCCCTGTACATGCTTGACTTAGCTCGTTTCACTTCTTTAGTAACTTTTGGGTCACGTGGAGGTAGGATCATGTCTCCTATACCGACGTGTTGCCTGTTATGCCTGCCTCTGTGTTCAGCAGTTAGTACACGAGCTGTATGTGCAGAGAAAGACGCACGTCTAGACACACATGTATATACTTGGTACAGTTGAAACAGCTTTTAACTGAAAAGAGATCATTGAAAACTTACCGATCTTTTCATGTGTGCAAGGGAGTGAGTCTTGGTTTTATCATTCATGTCAAAGTTAGTTTTTTCTTCTCTACAGCTACGTAGATGTCTTTACTTACCCACCATTTCCCAAGTTTCTTAATACATTTAATACAAATAGTAGCTTGTTACCTAGAATTCTGCAGAGCATACAGTCCAAACTCTATTTTGTAGTAACACTTAATGTATAATATTTTGCCAGGTCATTTGGGAAAATAAGAATAAAACATTTAAATTTAAATACAGTTTTTTGGAGAATAACTATGGAAAATTGCATCATTTTTTGCTAAGTTTTAACTTTTATTCATTAGTCATTATTGTTCTGAAGTAATTTTCTGTTTCAAAGACCAATAATTTTCTAAGGCATAAGCATTAAAAATGGAAGAATTCCAGTCATGCAAGGTTGGAGTTGCATTTAAAATATGGGTGTTTTTCTCTACATAATAATATTATATAACTAAAAAATTGTTGATAATTTACTAAGTATTACAAATGATCAATTTATCTACAGGCTGACATGTTTATGGAAAACATATGTCTTAACAATTGTATCATATAATTGATTGCTTTTTTCATTACTTTTTTTTATTTGTGGGCTTATTTGGGCAGAAATCAATTAAAATAGAAATCAGTAATTTATTTTATTTTGTCCTAGTGTTAGGATAATGTAAAGTTAATTCTTCCTGCTTTTTTTTGTTTTGAAGATAGCTTTTTTTAAAATTGTGTTTGAAGACATTAATACCTATAATATTTGATAGCTCTTTTAAATAATTTCTTTAGAACAGTTTGGTCATTGTAGGATATTATATTTGAGGTGTTTGTTTGCAGGTGGTTAATTTTCTTTGCCCCATTATTTATTTATTTATTTATTTATTTATTTATTTTGAGGTACTGGGACTTGAACTTAGGGCCTTATGCTTTCCTCAGCTGCTCTACCACTTGACTCCACCAGCCCTTTTTGTATTGGTTATTTTCGAGATAGGATCTCAAAGTATTCATTCAGGTTAGCTTAGAACTGTGATCCTCCTAATCTCTGCCCCTGAATAGCTAGGATCACAGTCATGAGCCACTGGTACCTGGCTTAACTCAGTACTTTAAAATGAAATCTAAACAAGAATGTTTAGATTTGCTCTTTATGTTTCTTTAGTTTATATAATTGTGAGGTGTTGCTGCCCTCTGCCTGTTAACTAACCACCAACAATTAAAGTGGAATTTGAGCTCTGCAACTTTTTACCTTCAAAGTGGTTTGGGTTTTTTTGTTGTTTTAATCTTTGTTTGTTTTGTTTTGTTTTTTTGAGTTGCTACTTACCAAATGTGCAATTTGGATGTTGGAAAGTGAACATAAATCTATGTAGAGATTTTCTGAGTTTGAGAAAATTACTTCAAAGGCCTGTCTGAAAGTGGTATTTCTTGCTTTAAAATGATTTCTGAGAGTACTCATGTATGGGTTAAAATGTTGGTGATCTTGTGGAAATATTTTATTTGGATAAATCAAATTGGTAAAACAAATTAAGGTAATTTCATTTGGGATAACATCTGGCCTTGTGTTAGAAACGGGATTACAGGGCATTTTAGAAACTGCTTTACTCTTTCTTAGTTAGCCAAGCTGACTGAGGGTAAGGAAGAATTTATACCAACAAACCTTTGGCTTTTCAGTGAGGTCTGTAAAATCTGATGAATGGTGCCTGATTAAATGATTCAAAGCAGTGCTTATTTGAGGTATAATGTGCAAACATCTGGAGATTTTGTTAGTCACATTGTGCACATTCTGATTCATCGGATATACAGTAGGGCTTGAAGAGTCTTCTCACAAACCTGCCATCCTTTTTGCCTAGATTATTGCAGTAATAATCCAAGGTCTCTCAGCTTCCATTTTTGCACTTTACCATTTGTTTGTTACAGGCTTGTCTTAATACTTGCTTAAAACCTTCAGTGGCTTCCATGAGGGTGCAAGTCCTAATGGTGATCCAAAGCCTTACCTGAGATGGCTGCTGCTCCCTTCTCTCTCCATCCCTCAGCACTAGCTACATTGGCTTCCTTGCTACCAAAATATACCCTCTCTGAGCCATTGTACTTGGTGTTCCCTTTTCTATGACTGCTTCTCCCCAGATATCGACATGGCTTCTGACTCTTCTAGGTCTGTATTTAAGTGTCAGTGTCACCTCGATGAAAAGCCTTTCCATACTGCTTTAAAGAGTAGCACTTCCCATTCCTCTATACCAATCACTTTTCTATTCATTTTACCCATCCCCAGTTAAAAAAATTTTCATAGCATTCCTCCCCACACCTGACATTTAATGAATTTACCTTTTCCCTTCTCCAGTGGAATGCCAGCTTCCCCAGGGCAGAGATTTTATTTTGCTTCCTGCTGTGTTCCTAGGACCTGGACCAGTGCCTGGCATACAGAAGAACACAGTAGGGCCCAATTGCTATTTGCTAAGTTTCTCTCTTTCTCTGCTCTCTCTCTCTGTATCTCACACACACATACACACACAGGAGAGAGACAAGAACTCTCTCGATTTTTCTAATAGCTGCTATTTTACAAGTCTGAAGTTTTTCATGCTCTGTAACCTAAAGTCTTATACCTTCATTTCTTGATCTTCATTTGGCAACTTTATTTCATTTAAGGACAGTTTTGTTCAGCTGATTCAGCTCTTACTTTCAGGCAGTTAATTATCCTTAGAATAGGTCATTCATGAAGTAAATCATGAACAAACACAATTCAGTAAAGACAGAATTTGGTCCTAACAGTGAGTCTGGCTTTCCCTCTCCTTTTTTCACACAATGCTTGCAAATCTCCCTCAAAGCTAGAATCATTAACAAGTAGCTCTTGAGCGAGGCCCTATGAGTTGAATCCCTAGAACTGATTAAAAAAAAGTAGTTCTTTTAGTTTTAAATCTGGTGATCTAGACTCTAAAATGTGTAAAATATGTAATAGGGCTATCTTCTGTGACTATTCTAGAACTATCTTAAATATTACATTGAATTTCCTTTTTCCCTAAAAGACAAAAGCAGAAATCAAGTTCTGCTCAGTCTGTAGCCGTACTTGATTTAGTGTTACTCAATTTAATATTTATTTAGTATGCTGTGTTATATGTTCATCTGTGGGGGGGGAGTGTTCTTACCTTCGGGAGTGTATGGTATGATTATGGAGATTTGTGTGTATAAGTATAAAATATTTAGAGAAAATGCCTCATACCTTAGTAGAGCTGTAAACAAGGTATATAGCCAAGGGAGAGGGCAATTCTGAGTATTGGTTTGGGGAAGAAGATCTTGGCCTTTGAGAAAGAGTTGAGTTTTTGACTTGAGACATTTGAGTCAGAGAAAAGTACATTAAACAAAGACATAGAGATGAATGTTATGTTGGGAAATACAACTTTCTCTTGAAAAAACAGATTTTGTTATTTTATGATAATTATTAAAAGGGAAGATGTACAAGATTGTTTTTCTAAAAAAATGCTATTTAAAACAAAATTTTAACATTATGTTTTTTAATTTATCAAGGCAAGTGAGTTTTTACCAGAACCCATGTCAGCGGCATTATTTCTTCTTTCAATGGACATGCCTATGTCTTTGGAATACCCAAATATTCATGATGCTGTTGTGGCCTATTTGGAACAGCTGAATTCTGAAAACTACAGCATTTATAAACGAACTGCAGAGGCTGCTTATTCAATTGAATGCACCTGTAATTTCCTATCTGATGTTGGGAAGGAGGTAAAATACTTTATTAATACCTCTCCTTCTGACGAGATGTTTAGAAAATGAACCTGTGCTTCTTAAATTGATAGATACATAGCAGGTGAATCGCTAGAGCTGTGCGACATTATTGAATGGTTCCACTTCAGATTAAAGTGAGGACATGTCTTGTGTAAAAGTAGATTATTGAATAGTGCATATTCATAATATAAGTGGTTTACAAAAACATTAATTATAAACATCATGCCTACAAGAAGTGACTTACTCTGTATGAACTTGATGTCACTATAATTATGAGGGCTATTTTAGTGCATACATGTAGGTACATTTTTGTTTTAATATTTTATAGACAGTTATTACATATTTATAAAAAGAACTGGTTTTTTGTTTGTTAAATTCATAAACTATTGTTTGGAAGATAGTACACTGTCTGTAGTTAAATGTTAGATCAGTCATTATGTGTCAGTATTTACTATTAGGACATTACTTGGTATATTATCAATGAAAGAATTAATGGGCCTTAGAGATTACACTGACTACAGTAATTGTTTACTGTCTGACAATACCAAAGTTGATCCTGAAGATATTGAAGAACTAGAGACAAAATTTTTTCTCCTTTTGACCCATATATGAAATCTATATAACGCTCATGTTTTTAAGTTTCCTTTTTTTATATTCGCTGTGGTGTCTTTTCTTTTTTGTTTTGTTTATTTTTGCCACGTTTTGATGCTACTGGCTTGTTTCTTCTGTGATAAAATTTTAAATTGTATGTTGTGGGATTATTTCTGTGGCATTCTGCATAATCGTTTTATCACACATGAATTGAGTGTTCTGCATGTTCCTAGGTCTTGTCCAGGGGTTAGAAGAAGAGGTGAATTATAAAATATATTAGTCCTCCTTTTAGTAAGGGGTGGTAGAGCCACCAACAAACAGAGGACCAGACAACTGGATTGTGACTTTATGCTTAAATAGTACAGAATCTCAGGTTGAATTTAGCTGTGGATTTTCCTCACATTTATCTTCCTGTGTTAATTTTGTCAGAATGTGGACTTGAACAAATGTGAACAATCTCAGGGTCTCTGAATGTTCTAATTTCTTGAAGCTGCTTAGTTAGCTGTTGAGAATTTTACTGTACATGAGCTTGGCACTTATTATTCTATTCTGGTTCTTTTTTAGGGAGAGAAGAATCTCTTAGAATTGGTGGAGCTGGCAGACCAGGCCCTGCTTAGCTTTTCCTGTCATCAGCATTTTCCCTTAATAAAGGAAATTATCTGCGTTTGTTCGAAGATGTAATATTTTCTTTCTTTTTATTTATTTAAACAATATAGTCTCGTTTTGTGGTCCAGACTGACCTGGAACTCACTGTTTAGCCCAGGCTGGCCTTAAACTCTCAATCCTCCTGCCTCAGCCTCTAGAGTACTGGCATTAGGAGTGTGCGCCACCATGCCCTGCATACTTTCTGAATGGGTTTATGTTACTATAGAACATTGTGTGTGCGCGCTTGGATGCATGTGCATGTGTGTTTGTGTGTGTGTGTGTGTGTAAATTTAGGAATAATATAAGTGAAATTGAGCATAAATCCTATATATATATATATATATATATATATATATATTGGTGGGACTGAGGTTTGAACTTTGGGCTTTGCATTGGAAAGCAGGCTTTCTACTGCTTGAGCCACACCTCTAGTCCATTTTGCTCTGGTTATATTAGAGGTGGGGTCTCATAAACTATTTCCTTGGGCTGTCATTGAACTGTGAGCCACTCGATCTCACCATCCCAAGTAGCTAGGATTACAGGTGTGAGTCAGCTCCTAGCTTTATTGTAATTTTTTAGTTTAAATTGTTTTTATATGTGTCTGACCTTTAAGCTGTAATTGTATAATCACATTCGGATAGTCAACTATTTTATCCAAGAATAAACTTTACAGATGTCATGTCTACGATCAAAGTGAGCAATTTGTGCATTTTTATACATTTATTTTTGGTATCCATCCAGAACAATTATTCAAACACATTTATATAGCTTAATTTTTTAAATCACTAGCTTAAATTTAGGGTTCCTTTTATAAATTTTATTATTTCGTACCATTTTTTAAAATGTATTTTTGGAAAGCACTGTATATTGGTTAGTTTATTTTAAGAATATCAGAGCAGAATCCTATTTAGGAATTAGTATCTTCATTGCTTTTGGAAGAATAAATTCAGTAATATGATAAATATTAATTAAGTCTGAATTTGTTTTTATTCTATTGTTTTTACATTTACTCACATGTGTATACATTGTTTGGGCCACCTCCCCCTCCCTGCACCCTCCTCTCAAGAAGTCTGAATTTTTAAAAGCTTTTTTTTTGTATTCTGTAAGAGTGAACATTTTCTGTCCTGAAATATGTAAGTTCTGTCTAGTCAAGGGAGTGGGAAGAAATCTTTTCCTGTATGTTTGCCATCTCTTGCTTGGTCACTGCCTTAGATGTCTTTGGTGTTTTACTTTTTTCTCAGCTGGAAATCTGCACAGGCCAGTCCATTACTACAAGGGGAGAGTCAGAAAGTGTTTCTACATATGTTATCTCACCCATTGCCACAAGTGAAAGTGGAAACTTACCACTGCTGCCTGGAAATTGTGAAGGTGGGATTTTTGTTTTGTTTGTTTGTATTGAGAACTAATAGCGATTCCCTTATTACGCCTTCAAAATAAAATTACGTGACCTTTTGTGTGAGCTATAACAACTATATTCCATAGATATAGAAATTACTAGTCAATCTGGGAAATTTGTACTACTAAATTCTGTTAACTTAGTTAAGTTTGGCAGTTGAATTGCTTTATTGTATTTGACACTCTTATAAATTCTCTCTGTGAGGACAGATGTCGGTATATTGTCATTTTTACTTCTGATTATTTATTCACATCAATAAAACACTGCAGTTATGAAGCTCACTTCTTTTTTTCTTGTCTCCTTCCCTGACACAGCCAGATGCTCATAGCGTTGATGTGCATCTTTCCCTCTACTTTTAAATATACTTTCACTATACATGTTGTCTTTATAAATAGTGCATACTACTGTTTGTTTTGTGCATTTTAAAAGTACAGTTTCAAACTACCTATGTTTCTGACAATTACTCCTTTCCTTTAATAGAAAGATTTGAGATCTACCAAGTTCATTCATTTTAATTGTTAAGTTTGAATTTACTTTCTTTTACTTAGCATATTTAGGTGAAGTGTCCTTTTTACTGAAATAGGTTTTCATTATTTTCAATGTGTGTGTATTTTTGAAACTGTCTTGATTTCTTACTCTTGAGTAATAATTAGCTGGATTTTAGTTATAGGCTGACTGCCATTATTCCTTAGAGTTTTGCCAGTATTGCTTTATCCTTTTTCTTGTTTCCTTCCTTCCTCCCTTCCTCTTTCCTCTCTCCCTCCCTCATCCCTTCCTTCCCTTTTTCCCTTCCTCCCTCCCTCCCTTCCTTTCTTGTTGGTACTGGGATTTGAACTTTGGACCTTGAGCTTGCTAGGTAGTCGCTTTATCACTTGAGTCAGAGCCCCTCAGCCCTTTTTTGCTTTTAATTATTTTTCAGATAGGATCTTTTTTTTTTGGGGGGTGGGGGCTGGGGTTGGCCTAAGACTAATCCTCCTACCCAGGAGGATTAGTAAGATGGAGTCTTTCTAACTTTTGCCTGGGCTAACCTTGAACTGTGATCCTCCCTATCTCTGCCTCCTGAGTAGCTGGGATTACAGCTGAGCCATGCCATCCAACAACATTGCCTTATTTTTATGAGTCTTACTGTTAAGAAGTTTGCTCTCCAGTAAATTGTACTTTATTTTTCCCCTCTAATAGCTTTTAAGATCTTGTTCTTATCTCTGGTGTGCTGCAGTTTCATTGCAATGTATTTCTGTGCACCCTTCTTTTTTTCCTCTTAATTATCTTATGTAGGACTCTTTAACTGAACACTTACGTTTGCATTCATTTCTGGATAATTTTCAGTGATTTTTATTTTGACTATTGCTTTTCTGTGGCCTTGCTGTTTTCTCCAAGAGGAACACTTATTAGATCTATGCTAGACCTTATTGTGCCTTTTATCTTTTATGTACTCTTTCATATTTCCATGTCTGTTTTAGTTTTGTGTAGAATTCCACAGTACTGTTATTTTAGTAAACTGACGTATCATGTATTTTTTCCTCAGCTGTGTCTAATTTGATTTTTTAACAGACAATGTTTGTCTTTTAGTGACTAGCATATTTGGGTTTTTGTTGTGGTAGAGCGTGAACTCTGGGTCTTGTGCTTGCTAAACAAGTGCTCTGCGTTGAGCTGTGTCCCCAGCTTGTGACTAGCGTGTTTCACTTAGCATAATGTCCTCAAGATTGTTCCATGCTGCAACATGTATCAGAATTCCATTCTTTTTTAAAGCTCATTAATATTCCATTGTCTCTATATGCCAAATTTTGTTTATCCATTCTTCCATTGGTGGATATTTGGGTTGATTCTATTATGAATAATACTGCTATGATCATTTGTGTACAAATATTTCTTTGAAATCTTTCTTCCCATTCTTTGATCATATATTCAGAAGCAAAATTGTGGAATTATATGGTAATTCGTGTTTAAATTTTGAGGACAAATATACTATTTTTCACATGGGCTATTAGATTTTAAGCTCCCGCCAGCAATTCTCTGCTTTATCAACACTTGTTTTTGTTTGTTTGTTCTGATGGTGTGGAGTAGTGTCTCATCATGCTTTTATTGACTTACTCTTTTTCATAATCTAAACAAAATTTTGTTTTAGATTTTTTTAAAACAGTGTCTTTCTGTGTCGGCCAGGTTGTCCTCAAATTCTGAGTTCTCTGACCTCTGCTTCCCATATGTTGGGATTACAAGGTGTGTGCCACCATGCCCAGCAGTTTTCAAAGTCTTTCTTTGGTTTCTTCTTTTTTTGTTACTATAAATTTTAAATGTACTTGTGTTGTAATATGCATTTTTCTATAATTTGGATTTTGAGCCTTCCCTGTACCATTGGTCTCTACTGATAATCTGGTTGTCTTTGGCATGGCTGGGGATCTTGTTTCCTTGGCAGTGGTTTTATGTTTGTTTCTGCCTTGTCTTTAGGGATTTGAAAGGAATGAGGTAGCTTGGAAGGGTTTTATTATGAAGGTATATTTTCATTTGAGTGTGTTGAAATGCTTCTCAAATGAACCTCTAGAGAAGGAAAGGTTGGAGATAGTAGATGGTCAGTAGCAAGTGAAAGAAGCTAGTGCTTTTGAAAGGTGAAGGCAGTGGGATTAGACCATGATGGCTAATTGGAATTAAGTGGATTTAGATTAACAGAGACTTGAAAAAAAAAGGTTGAGTATGTATTTTCTTTGAGATCGAAAGACATTAAGTGGATATTTAGTGTGTTTAGAATTACAGGGGTGTGTGTGTATTTGATGGTACTGGGTTTTAAACTCAGGCTCTGCCCTTGCAAGGCACTTAAACTATGTCATACCACAGCCCTTTTTGCTTTAGTTATATATGTGATAGGGTTTCATGTTTTTGCCTGGGGCTGGATTCAGATGATAATTCTCCTACCTTTGCCTACCGTGTAGCTGGGATTACAGGTATACACTGCCATTCCTAGCTTATTGGTTGAGATGGGGGGATCTTGCTAACTCTTGTCTGAGCTGGCCTTGAACCGTATTCCTACTGATCACTGCCTCCTGAGTAAACTAGGATTACAGGCATGTGCCACCTTCCCTGGCATTCCCACCAGCAGTGGACTAGGGTTCCTTTTTCCCCACATTCTTGCCAATACCTGTTGTTGGTGGTGTTTCTAATCATGGATATTCTAATGGGTGAGGTGGAATCTTAGTGTGGTTTTGATTTGTATTTCCTTTATGTCTAGAGATGGTGAGCATTTTTTCATGTGTTTTTTTTGGCCATTTGAATTTCTTCTTTTGAGAAAGTTCTGTTTAGTTCAGTTGCCCATTTTTTAATTGGTTCATTGATTTTAGGAGAGTTTAGTTTCTTGAGTTCCCTGTATATTCTAGTTATTAGTCCCTTGTCTGATGTACAGCTGGCAAATTTTTCTCCCACTCTGTGGGTGGTCTCTTCAATTTACAGACCATTTCTTTTGTTGTGCAGAAGCTTTTTAATTTCATGTAGTCCCATTTGTCCATCCTTTCTCTTAGTTGCTGGGTTGTTGGAGTTCTACTGAGGAAGTCCATGCCTATACCTATTGCTTTCAGTGAACATGTAGATCACTTTGGGTAGTGTAGCCATTTTTCTGTGTTGATTCTTCCAATCAATGAGCATGGGAGATCTTTCTAACTTCTGTAGTCTTCATATCTTTCTTTAGTGGTTTGTAGTACTCCTTGTAGAGGTCATTTACATCCTTTGTTAAGTTTATTCCTAGGTATTTGATTTTTTTGAGGCTATTATAAATGGAATTGTTTTCCTATATTTTTTCTCAATTTGTTCATTGATGGTATTTCTACTGATTTTTGTAAGTTGATTTTGTATCCTGCAACTTTGCTAAAGCTGTTTATGGTGTCTAGGAGTTTTTGGGTCTTTGAGGTATAGGATCATATCATCTGCAAATAGGGATAGTTTGACTATTTCTTTACCTATTTGTATTCCTTTTACTTCTTTTTCTTCCCTTATTGCTCTGGTAGAAATTCCAGGACTAGTAGTAAGGAGAGTGGGAACCCTTGTCTCATTCCTGGCATTAGGGGAAATGGTTTCAGTTTTTCCCCATTAAGTATGATGTTGGCTATAGGTTTGTCATATATAGCCTGTATAGTGTCAAGGTACATTCCTTCTATTCTGATATGTAGTTTTCTTAGCACTTTTATCATGAAATGGTGTTGAATCTTATCAAAGGCTTTTTCTGCATCTGTTTGAGGTGATCAAGTGGTTTTTGTCTTTGTTTCTATTCATGTGCTGTATTACATTTATTGATTTGCGTATGTTGAACCACCCCTGGCATCCCTGGGCTGAAGCCGACTTGGTCATGGTGAATGATCTTTCTGATATGTTGTTGGATTCAGTTTCACATTACTTTATTGAGGATTTTCACATCGATGTTCATTAAGGAGATTGGCTGGTAGTTCTTTTTGGATGAGTCCCTGTCTGGTTTTGGGGTGAGTGTAATACTAGCTTATAGAATGAGTTGGACACTGTTCCTTCCCTTTCTATTTTGTGGAAAAGTTTAGGACTGTTGGTATTAGTTCTTTTTTAAAGGCCTGGTAGAATTCAGCAGAGAATCCGTCAGGTCCTGGACTTTTCTTTTTTGGGAGACTCTATTGCTGCTTTAATTTCATTTTGTGTTATAGATCTATTCAGGTGATTAATATCCTCTTGGTTCAGTTTTGGATAGTCATAAGTATCTAGAAATTTGTCCATTTCTTCAAGATTTTCAAATTTATTGGGATATATATTCTCAAAGTTGTCTCTGATGAGTCCCTGGATTTCCTTGGTGTTTGTTGTTATCTCTTCTTTTTCAGTTCTGATTTTACTAATTTGGTTCTTTTACCTCCTCATTTTAGTTAGGTTTTGCCAGGGATTTGTCAATCTTGTTTAATTTTTCAAAGAATCAGCTTTTTGTTTCATTGATTCTTTGTATGGTTTTTTTTTGGTCTCTTTCATTAATTTCAGC